TGAATGTCATATTAGCATTGAAAACATTTAATGCCCTTTCAACGAAGTCTTTTTTCGGCATCAATAGATTAGCCAGAGAATTTTTTAATGGCGAATTTTAACTGCTGTCTATGTTTTTGCTGGCAATCAAGCCTCCTACATCTCTCATACAATAATTTGTGCAGCTCTTAAAATTGCATTCTTTTTGGATAAAGCGCCTGTGCAGACCATTTTGCGCCAGCACGATAGTCGGAAAACACGCGTGTTTAAAGAGTTAATCAGTTTCTCCTGCGAATTGGGGCATACATCAGAGAATAGATTTAATTTAAACATTTTCCATGTCAAGAAAATGTGTATTCTCTTGTTCGGGTGGTCGCAAGAGTTCGCCTTATGGTAAGCTGTTTGCGTGTGTGCATGTCCATATTTGGTGCCTAATCCCACCAAGAAATACATTTCATATGACAACTAGACTGAGATTTTGCATAAACCAAGTATTTTAGTGAGCAAAAACGATTAAATACGATTTTTGGAGTCAGATGACCGTCCGTGACGAGTCAAGAGCGACTTGACTAGGAGGGCACGCCGAAGACTGCAACTTATTTTTCATAAAAGTTGTTTGATCTTGGTTTCTCAACTTGGTCATATCAGCAGAAATACGTGGAGCAACGCAGCTTTTCCGGAGTCGATTGTATGATGTTTCAATTCCAGAGTCGGAACGTGGACTTGGTACATTCCCACACGTCTGCCCGGCGTCGTCATTGAGTCGTGCCATTCTCAGAAACCAAGCTACAACTCGTCAAAGAGACAAGTGAAGTCGAGACGGTTATGCTATCATTCCTCCTCCTGTCACGGTCCCTCTATCCATTTCCTACGCTCCAGTCTCGCTCTCGTCTTATCACAACTTCTGACATGTTTTTATTACACAAGAAATGTGTACTTTCGGCAAATTTACCGATTCTGCTCTACTCTTCTGTCCGGATCCGTTTCTCATCTTCTTGGTTCACCGATTTCACTCGGTTCCAGCCCCAATGTACGCTTACTCAATGCGATATTTCTCCAACCTTTACTGACACGTACCATGTCGCCTTATCTTCATGGCATCTAGAGTCTGGTTCCCATGCCTCCGGAGATTGGGCATTACCTACACGCATCATCGCTTCGAGTAAGCTAGTGTACTCTGAGCAAACTGGGTACATCCATTTCTGCACCTCAAGTGGATTCACAAGAAGAGGGATTGGGTCACAGAAATCGGGCATTGTGACCAAATGAAATCGGTCTACCAGAAGTTGCGATAGGACGAGGGCGAGACTAGAGGGCAGGAAATGGATAGAAGGACCTGGACAAAACGAGAAAAGTTGGTCAAGGCGTTGACTTCACTTGTCTCTTTTGACGAGTTGGAGCTTAGTTTATGAGACTGGCAAGACGCACTGATGCTGGCTGCGAATCGTCTGGGAATGTACCAAGTCCACGGTCCGACTGTGGAAATTCTCGTGCGACCACACAAAAGACCACACCATCCTGGTCTTCATACCTTCAATTATTTTTTTATGGCTGATATTTATTATCATTAGTATTTTGTAAATTTTACAGTATTTCTCCCCACTTGTCTGTGAGCTTTGTTCCGAGACAGAGACTGGGCATAAGAAATGACATTTAATGTTGGGATTTAGTTAAAATATGTCATGCTATGGGACGCAGATTTAATCAGCAATCTCGCAATCTACCAGTGCCTCCAGGTTTATTTCATGATAAAGTGTTTCTTTCACAGACACTTGGTTCGAACATTTTCACATCTGATAGCATCCCCTCACTCAGTTACGAGTTCGCCTTGAATCCGCTTCTTCTTCTCCTAATTTCTTTAGGATGTCGAGGTACAGCATGACAGATAACCGATACTCTGACCTCGGGAATACTCGAATGAAGTCAGTCTGGCATAGGATCAGACAAAAAATGTGCAATTAACAAGCCGTTTTCTGCCCGCAAATAACCTGCATCTCTTTGCGTCCTTACGCTTAATGGCGACATTTCTCTGTCTCGAGCCTCTTGGCAATTGTTAGGGCAACCTTTGTCAGATTATTTCTACTAACATGGCTCATGTTAACTCATGTTGTCAGACCTGACAACTGCAATACGTCTCGGACTTGATATATCCTCATAAGCCCGATTTAATTGGATGTAGTCAATCGTAATTGGCTGTAGAAATACAAAATAAGTCACTTTCACTCCACCACATATCATTGTACAATAAGCGAAATACTCAATTTGTCTTCCCTTGCTCATTTCTTGCAGAGTGTGATAAACGTCTTCGAAATGTGACAGAATGCGTTGCAAATAAGTTCCTCGAACGAAAGCTGATCGGAAGGCGAAAAGTGAATAATGAAAAATGTGTCAACTTCCTTGTGTGGGAGAAACGATCGGAAGTCGGTAAGTAACGACTGTAGACAGTCTTCACCATAACACCTCATTCGTCAGCAATATTATTCATTCAGCAAAAATATGATTTGGTAAAGTCACTTCTGCTCTATGACCGTGTCACAAAGTGATAAGGCGGTGTCTCGCACCCCCCCCCCCGAACCAGGATCGAATCCCCTTGGGGGTACCGATGAAGCGATGATATCGTCAAGCTAAACTTGTACCATCAATCCGTTTGTCATTTTAACCAACCTATGGTACCAAATTATTTTGGAAAAGGCAGTCAAGGCGGGATTCACTTTCACCTCATACATATCATGTAATGTCTAATATTTTAGATATTTATTTAGCAATTAGGCTCATATTCTTAGTAATAAGGCATTATTGTGTGTGTATAAATATGCAAATGCAGTCAGGCTATTAACAGTGAGGATAGGAATTCTTTGTGATAATGAAAAGTCACTTTGTTTTTCAGCCTGCAAGGCCAAGGAGGTGAAAACTCATTGCAATCAGAAAACAGGCATCGCCCAGACAACCACGTCTTGGTACACTGTGGAGAACTGCAAATGCCGCAAGCATGTGCTAAAAATGGAAAAGCGATGCAGTAAGTGATTTATGTTCTCTGTTATAGCGCAAAATCACGATAGTTCTTAGAGAAATAATTGCCTCTCAATTTGTGCTAAATAGAATAAGCAACTAAATGCTCCGTAATGTTGGGATCAACAAAACCAGACGAACAACAGTTCAAGGTTGAACGATGAAAAATGTCTTCTTTGTCTCTGCCGAGAATAGAGAATGTTACGCTTGGCGTTGGTAAGAATGGAGCATTTGTCTGTCATGCATGCA